CCATGAAAGTTCTAAGAGGTTGTTTACTTGCCCAGTCAAGTTTTATAAATGTCTATAAATGGCCAGCTATGTACAAGAGATACATGTGTTTAGCACCTTTAGTTATGAAAGTCATTGACCTTAGAGGCTGGAGCTCCTTTAAAGCATACCATTTGGAATGGAAAGCATACAAAACAAGTTGGAGTATCATTTTTTTTCTCCAATTAATTAGGAAGAACTGTCAATGCAGCAACGACATAGGGTATTTATGAAAGAAGTTTAGATACTCCGTAAATCTAGCCCATGTATGATTCACAAAAATAAAACAATTAGTCAAATACGATAATGCATGTTCTCTTACAAGCATTTAGCAGTATTTTTACCAAGTATTATACACATGCAACTTACCTTTCAAGAATAACCTATGAGCAACTGAAGTTATAAAAATAGTATGAGCTTTCTGCCAATTTGCACACTGAAGAAATTGCTCAAGGGCTTTTGAGTGATTCCCGTTATAATTATAATAAATAGCCTGCACCACCAAAACAAAATCATTTGAACAACAATAAGAGTCACATAAAGAAAAATAAAAAACATAGACATATAAAGCATTAGCATAGTTCATTAATAAGTAAAGAACATAGGGACAACAATTTAATTCAGTTTGTCACAAATTGATCATGATTAGTGCCCATATGAATCTAATAAGCATTTTTTTCCTTTGACAAATACAAATCTTATAGGTTTTAAAGCTCAAGCAAAGTGAAAACATCATTTATATAAAACTGAATGAATAGTATCATCAAAATATACATTGTGTTTGTATGTTTTTTTCATTAATGGATTAAGAAAAACGGGCCAGAAAGGAAAAGGGAGGAATGGAACAAAGCAACCACTCTGCTTGTTTGGAGGATCAACATTGGAACAGAATGGAACTTCAATACCCTTTTGAGTTTCCCCCCATTCCACCCTAATGTTGGGGAAACAAAATTGTTGTTCTGTTCTGCTCCAATATGTTTTTAAATTCCCACAAACAATGGAACTTATCCCTTTTCCCAAATTCCCTTGCCATTCCCTTCATTATCTATCATACATAGTATGAGAGCGAGATTTTAAAAGTGTACTGCAACAAATTATGCATGTCATTGATATTCTTTTTATCAAAAAATAAAGAAATAAACAAATATGATGCTTACCAAAGCCTCATGCATCCAATCTGTGGGGATGCCTAAATCCTCAATGAACTGTTGCTGAGATTCATCTGAACTCCAAGTTTCACAGTATTGGAACAGTATTTCCCGAATCAGATTTACATGAAGATATGGATAATCTTCACGAAGAGGCAGGTGAAGGATCACATATATGGCCCAATGACATTTCCCTAAGCACAATAGCTGAGACACAAATGCCATGTCTAGAATATGAAGATCATTAGAATTGATAACACCCACTGCTTCCAAGACTGCACGTTGATGCCAAATCATATGATAATCAAGCGGATCAGGGGTAGAAGCGAATGCACTAAACATAGCCTTCAGAAAGCTGAATTCTGTCTTTTCATTAGCATGAAGAAGCATTAGATAAAATGAAATGTCAAAGTGCTTATCCGTGTTATTGATAGCCTCATCTGATGTTCCTTCATCAATAAAAAGGGGAACCGGATATGGAGCCGTTCCCTCATCAAGAAAATGTTTATAAGTCTGGAAAGCAATGGGTAATGAAGTGTTAGGAGGTAATTTGTACCACATTAATAAACCTAAGAATCTCCTCCAGTCAATTTTGACATCATGCAATGCGCCATGAATATTCCCCGCAAGCAATTCATAGAGTCTCAATCTGTCCTTTTCAATGAAACTAAAATCCAGCCCTTTATTTCTCCAAATATCAAGTTGCCTTGCAATATCAGAGCGATTCACAGTAGAACCACCAGCCTGACTTAACAAACAAGCCAACCTCACATCTCCTTTGGCCACAGCCAGCTGCACTGCTTCATCCAGTTGCCGCCCAGTTAGGAGAACAAAAATATGTTGCAGATGATGAGAATCATCTAGAGAGCTTATTTGATTTTGAACATGATAGGAAACACTCTCCCGCAGCCAATAACTAAACTCTGCCCTCCTCATTAAAGGGAGTGCTTCTTGGTCAACATCTAGAGAATTTTCCTTCATATCCTGCATCATATCTTCTTCGTTGTCAGCACCCAAAGATTCTACTTGAGCTTTTTGTTCTCTATCAGAAAAAAGAACTCTAATTATCTCCCAGGTCATTACTTGATGGGTCAAACCCAAACGAGATGAGGAAGATAACCCAGGAACACTCAATTGCCTCTCAATAAGATCACAGTACTGTTGAGAAATCTCAGACAGGGTTGTACGATTAGCTTCAAGCTTTTGAAGTGTCAACTTGCAGGAACCAAATTCAACTTCTTTCATCACATGGTTAATTCCTTTGTGAAAATTTAAAGGAGATACCAGAGCATGGTCAATAAGTTCCTTACTCACTTTTTTATTTTCATCCCTGACCAGATTGTCAAAAGCAACTTTCTCCAAATTGACAACAGATGATAACATCTTGTGATTACCACTGCTTCCTACAGGTGCACCAGAGTGTACAAGAATGCCATTTGGTCCCCATCCAACTCGGAAAGACTTACCCATAAACAGACCAGCATCAACTATATTGCGAGCATAGTTTCCAGATACTGGAGTTTCATGTTTAAGATCTAGTTTAAAACCTTGCGATTTTATAGTCCTAGGAGGCATGCCCTTTTGCTGCTGAACAGCAATGGGTAATGAAGTGTTAGGAGGTAATTTGTACCACATTAATAAACCTAAGAATCTCCTCCAGTCAATTTTGACATCATGCAATGCGCCATGAATATTCCCCGCAAGCAATTCATAGAGTCTCAATCTGTCCTTTTCAATGAAACTAAAATCCAGCCCTTTATTTCTCCAAATATCAAGTTGCCTTGCAATATCAGAGCGATTCACAGTAGAACCACCAGCCTGACTTAACAAACAAGCCAACCTCACATCTCCTTTGGCCACAGCCAGCTGCACTGCTTCATCCAGTTGCCGCCCAGTTAGGAGAACAAAAATATGTTGCAGATGATGAGAATCATCTAGAGAGCTTATTTGATTTTGAACATGATAGGAAACACTCTCCCGCAGCCAATAACTAAACTCTGCCCTCCTCATTAAAGGGAGTGCTTCTTGGTCAACATCTAGAGAATTTTCCTTCATATCCTGCATCATATCTTCTTCGTTGTCAGCACCCAAAGATTCTACTTGAGCTTTTTGTTCTCTATCAGAAAAAAGAACTCTAATTATCTCCCAGGTCATTACTTGATGGGTCAAACCCAAACGAGATGAGGAAGATAACCCAGGAACACTCAATTGCCTCTCAATAAGATCACAGTACTGTTGAGAAATCTCAGACAGGGTTGTACGATTAGCTTCAAGCTTTTGAAGTGTCAACTTGCAGGAACCAAATTCAACTTCTTTCATCACATGGTTAATTCCTTTGTGAAAATTTAAAGGAGATACCAGAGCATGGTCAATAAGTTCCTTACTCACTTTTTTATTTTCATCCCTGACCAGATTGTCAAAAGCAACTTTCTCCAAATTGACAACAGATGATAACATCTTGTGATTACCACTGCTTCCTACAGGTGCACCAGAGTGTACAAGAATGCCATTTGGTCCCCATCCAACTCGGAAAGACTTACCCATAAACAGACCAGCATCAACTATATTGCGAGCATAGTTTCCAGATACTGGAGTTTCATGTTTAAGATCTAGTTTAAAACCTTGCGATTTTATAGTCCTAGGAGGCATGCCCTTTTGCTGCTGAACCATCAAAATGCCTCCAGGAGACTTTGTATCAAAATTTCCATGTTTATACTCAAGTAATGGAAACGGAGTTTTACGAGCAACTGGTGGGGTAGATCGATGGTTGATTGCCTGAGCAGAACTTTGTAAAGGCCGAACATACTGCTTACCAGAAGACGATTTGCTACTTAAGTCCTCTACCTCTTCTTCATCAGGAAACATCAATAATTTCATTTCTTTCATTTTAACGGGATCAAGCCTAAGATGAGAAGGAAGAGAATGAGAAAGCTCAACCTCACTGGCATTTGATGGTGATTCTTTCTCAACATCATATATCTCAGCATCATCCATAACGATGTCTTCCTCATCATCATCACCAAACCCAAATCTGCTGAAGTGTTTAACTAAGAATTTCCACTCACCAGTCGCAAGATCAAAGGAAACAAATTGTGCTTCCTGTCTCTCAGTAATTTGTTTTAATTTGTTCACTAAAACCCCTTCCTTCCCCTCCTTGGACTTCAATATCTCACTATCTAATACCAAAACTACTTCAGCAGCCTTGTTAAGACCCTGACCAACCGCAGGCTTATCATTTTCATCACTGTACACAACTATCTCATGCCTATGAAAATTAACAACTTCATCTATATGCAATCCCCTAACATCAGTTTCAGTAAAATACCTGACATATCCATAGCCAAATCTCCCAACAGTGAAATCAGGCACACGACCGCAATAACCCGGTTCAACAAGTTCCCGCGCCACTAATTCCTTCAAAGAAGGTTTGGTATAATAACCCGGTGAGTTCAAAATAGGTACGGAAGCTTCAGTCACTGTCATCATCAGTGTTACCAAATGGCGCCTATCGCGTTGCGGACTTCAACGAAAATGCAATTCATGCGGTGAGGTGAGGTAGGAGATGAAGCGGTGCAGCGATTAGGGTTTTGCGAGCTACTGGTGTTTGTGCGGGTGGGGCACGTGGCAATGGGCCTTGGAAGCTCTTGTAAGATCTTTAACGCTTTGTTCAGTGTGCTGAAAGTATGAAGGAGGAGGAAGCTAGAGTGAGTAGTGAGGAGAATTGCACTAGGTTTTTTTTTTGCGTGAAAATATTTCCGCGCTCCATTTTTGTCTATTTACGAAAATGCCCTTATCTGTCTTGATAACATATTAACATGAACAAGGTTGGGCTTTATCGGAGAAAGGCCCATATAGGGTTCTTCTTCTTAGTTTTGTTTTTCCTAAACCCTCTCTTTCGTCTCTGCTGCCACTTCTCGTACTGCATTCATTCAGCTGCGTTTAAATGATTTCTGCGATTTCGTGGGTGCCCAAAGGGGCTTCGAAGTCCACACCCACCGTCGCTGACCCTCCTCCTCCGGAGGAGATTGAAGAATTGATCGCCAACCACACGACCACAAGGTCCTTTAGCTTCCAACAAAATTATTATCAAACAAATAAAACCCTAACATCCTCTTTTTATTTTTGCGTGCAGTGGAGACAGTGACATTGAAGAAGCCAGCGATGAAGTTGCCCAAGCATTAGCCGTGGCGGATGCAGTCGGCAAATCAACCACTGGAAACTGTGACGATATAGCTCTAGCGTTGAAGGATCTCGACATGGACCATTATGATGAAGAAGATGAAGGTATCCGTCTAGGACAAAACTTAGACTTAGTTTTTAGGTACCTAATGTAAACATTTATTACATGACACTTTAAGTTTTGTCCATCTATCTCTCGGTCTATCTTCACATAACTCTATTGTAATGATCATTAATCACTTGTCGTTTAGGATTTGAGATATTTAGTTCGGGGAAAGGTGATCTTTATCATCAGAGTAACGACATGGATGAATATCTCATAGATAGAAAAGTAAGTTAAGTTCCATCGCTTGCCATTTTATAGCAGGACTGTGTCTTCTTATTATCTTACATTGTTATTTATGATGTTTCAGGGTGATGATTCAGAAGAATTCGAAGACATGATCATTAATCCAACTGATTCTGTCATTGTTTATGCCTGTACCGAGGATGATGTCAGTTATCTTGAGGTAAGTTAATTGTTTTGTGACGTGTGAAGTCAAGTCATGGACTTATGGTATATTACACAGATACCCCACTTTCTTTCTTATCTGGAAAAGGTTTACTTATGACTTGTTTCTTTCTGCACTGCCAGGTTTGGGTACTCGAGGATGCTGATTCTAGTGAAATGAACATGTATTCTCACCATAATATCATTCTTCCAGCATTTCCATTGTGCACAGCTTGGCTCGATTCCCCCCTTAAAGGAGGAGAAAGAGGTTGATACTATGGGTTCTTTGCATGATACCTCTAGCATATATATTTGTGTTGATTTTTTTTTTGTTGTTGTGCAATTTAGCTTTTTAACCTTCCCAGTGCACGCTAAGTAATTGAAGGGCTTCTCAAAAGTGAAAATAGAAAGTCTGAAGAAAAACTTGTAAACTGTCATAATGATATATGCTCTGATGATTTCTACCTTTATTATAGGATGCCAAAAACATGAACAATTTGCATTTCATTCAATGGTAAAGTGAAAAAAAAAAACTGTTGTTAAGTTACATTTTATTAAAACATAGAGAGGTTAGTATTTACTCTTGGTCAAAACTTCTGTTTTGTAGACCGCTAAAAATATTCTATAATGTTTGAAGGTTTCTAGGTTTGGAATACCTGAAATCTCCACCATTGCAATTTGTGTTTAAAATTTTACTTGATACTGGCTTGATATCTTTGCTTCATAGCTTTAATATAATTTCATTATGATAACAGGGAACTTCATAGCTGTTGGTTCAATGGAGCCTTCCATAGAAATTTGGGACCTTGATGTTGTAAGTGGATTGAGTTTATAAATCTAATTGTGCTGTCTGAAACTGTATAAGTGTATATACAAAAAGAGATATTTTTTGCAGAATACCTTGTAAATTTTCCTTTGTGCTCAGATTGATGAGGTGCAGCCATGTCTGGTTCTGGGTGGATTTGAAGAGAAAAAGAAAAAGGGAAAAAAGGTTTGTTCTACATTCTTGTTAATTAGTTTCAATCCCCTTGGAATCACGTGATCACCTCAAATGGCAGCAAGTTGCAGCAAATCACGTGATCCCCTTAATTATGGTTTATTTGTGGAAATCCCGTATGCTGTGCTGTCAGCAAGGTTTGTGCTCCTTGAAAATTTAAATGCAGTAAGTTGCAAATCATTGTTGATATTAAGTCTTAGCTTTTGCATTGTAAACGTGCATGTGTGTGTGTGTATATATATATATATTCATGTGCACTTAAATCAATACCCTTAACTTAGCTTTTTCCAAAAAATTGGGATTATTTACCTTAAATATCTATATCTACCTTTATACTTTCTTATGAAACTTAATCATTTATGTAAATCCATGTACAATTTTGTTCATTGAAATAGGGAAAATCTCCCCTGATTACGGCACTGCAGAACTTTGAGGGCCTGCAGCCTCTGATGCCAAAACGCCCTAATTTCCTCTTAGAAATGAGAAGTTGCTTTCCTTTCCTCTCATCTATACTATTTGTAAATGTGAATCCTCTTCAATGATTGTAACTAACTAATAAGTTGTCTAACAATACTTCCATTCTCCCAAACATTCGCCTGTCCTCGAGGTGAATAGCTATGGAAGCTGCAAACAAATTTCCACTGGGGTTCAACTGATTGAAGCATGATCGTCAAGCCAACCCCACCACTATCCTCAACCCATTGGGTCAAACACAAACTGGAAGGTGTCAGCATTATGCTCCAATGTTCTTCCTTGTGAGGCACTTTTGGCCACAAAACAGTGTTTCCCATTACTAGATCTTGTGCATGAGGACATTGAGACAATTCAGTTTTCCATTTCATTGTGTTGATCTGTACTCTAATTCTGAAAAGAAATCATTTCCATCTCCAGCATTCCAATTCTTCATTTTACCCCTTCAGTCTTGGCCCGTTAGGCCAGCAAATTGAGCTCCCTTCCCAACTCAGCCTCTTCTTTCTCGTCTTTCCTTTGCTCACTGCTCCTAGTTGCATCATTTTTGTTGGCTCCTACTTAGTTGTCCTCCCAGCAGCCATTACGTGAAGTTCCTAGCTTGGCATTTCTAGCTAGAGTGGCGGATTGATCAGATTGCTCAGAATACATGCTTCCATGGCAATTGTATGTTCTCTCCATCTTTGCTTCACGCCTTCACCATTGTGCCATCCACAGGATCAGTTTCCTTCTCCATCTTCACTCAGACTTTATTACCCAGTTGAAAGCTGCAGTTTTTTCTTCTTCTCACAGCCCAGAAGATGGTCCCCCTTCATAAAACAAGCTTTCCTCAGACCAAGAAAAATTCACCATTCTCTCCAGTTCAACCTCTTTTCCCAATCCATTGACCCATTTCACTTATAGTTCATGATTCAAAATATGGACTTATTGCTCTCTTTGGGTATTGCTTTCTTTCCTCGTCTCTAACTGTAAGATTTATGGCTCCTCCACCATTGAGTCAAGCTTCTGCATTTCTGCATGAGTCATTGCACATGTTTCTGTGTGTCTATGGCCTCTTAGCAGTTGATTTTTTGCTTTCCATACATTCATCTTGTTTGGTTTCTTGCATCCAAGAATCTTCATCTATAGGCTGTGCCACCTCCATGCATTCAAACAATGACTCATCCCCAGACAAAATCCCAGCAGTGCACATCTTTAGTTCAGTTTTGATCTCCTTGAGCCCCTTCAAAAGACTTCTTGAAGGTAATCCTGCTCCTTGCTGAAGGTAATCTTCCACATTGTCAGTTAGCTTTAACTCCAATAGACTTTTGAATCATGGAGGGCTGAAACCTCCTGATTAAAGCAGTTTGGAATGATGTCCATGTGACATTCAGGGTGCAGGATTTCCATCTCGGCAACCAACTCAATGCATGCTCCTCCATAGCCACTGCCACCACCTGCATTTTTTCTTCTTCATGTACCCCTTCTATCTGAAAATGTCTCTCAATTTCGATGGCAAACCAATTGGCATCCTTACTTGAGAACAGAGGGACTTTCTTTCTTGCTACCAGTGATTCCAATCTTACCTTCATTCTGCTTTGTAAAATGAAGTGCTCCTGGATCGTGGGACTCTGAGCTAGTTGATAGAAACTTGATTTCTTATTATAAAAAAAAATTAGGGAAAATCTCCCCTGGTTGTTACTGCACTGCAGAACATCGAGGGTCTGCACCTCCTAATGCCAAAAGGCTATGATGCTCTCTCATCTGTTCTATTTTACACATGTGATATACACTACACTGATAGTTTTTAACTATTAAACTAACTAGTGATTATAAATAACTAATTAAACTAACTTAGTCTTATCTTATCTAACTATACTCAACTAACTGATAGTTTGTAACTTCTATTTGGGATTTTGAATAGCACTAAGTGGAACTGAAATTACAGATGTCTTATGTATACAAGGATTGAAGCTACTACTATGAAAATCCATATAATTTGCTTGTACTGTTTTATTAGACTTCCTTATTTTAGAAATTGTACATGTCCCAATTGAAGTTTTTAAAGCTAGGTAAACTGACAGGAAAGTGTTATTGGAACCAGTAGAAATACCCTTGATCATTATTGTCTTTAATCCTCGTAGATTTTTAAACAAAATATGTTTGGCTGTTTCTTATTAAAATTTGATCACAGCTTTTATATGCATCTGGTTTTCTTACTTCGCAAAATTTTTTTGTTGCAGAAATCAATCAAAAAATACAAAGATGATAGTCACACTGACTCAGTACTTGGTCTTGCTTGGAACAAGGAATACAGGTTTGTTGAATTAAAACTAGACTCTGCTTTTATTTCCTCTGCTGGATGCTTTCTGGAACCTAAAGGTTCTATATGTATTTTTTATTTTTGAACTCTATTCCTTGACACCTCTATTGACATCTATCCTTTAAAAAAAAAAGGAATATATTAGCAAGTGCCAGTGCCGACAAGAAAGTGAAGATCTGGGATGTGGTTGCAGGGAAGTGTGATATTACAATGGAACATCACTCAGACAAGGCAAGAAATTAGCTAGAGCATAATGTATTTTTTAGTATGAGGTCATTTATTTTATTAGATGAAACTGTGTTTTTTCTCTTTGTGTTGACATGCTTTTTTTAGTATTATTATATTACAATGAGGTGATTTTTACTGCACTATTATTAACCAATATGGAACATTATGATATTTAATCTTCAGCTGTGTTCAATTCTTTATTCAATATGTATAATGTATACTTGAAACAAATTTTGGGGGAGCAATGCTCCACATTGTTGATAAAGGAAAATATTTCACTCTTCCTTAATTGAATCATTCGATTCATTTTTTTTTATCATCAGTTACTATAAAATGTTAGAGTCAATACACGTCCTGATGTCTTTCTGATTTATGTCTTGTCTATCCATCATCACAGGTTCAAGCAGTTGCTTGGAATCATCACGCACCACAGGTTCTTCTTAGTGGTTCATTTGATCATACTGTTGTCATGGTAATGATCCAATATTCCTTGGTTACTCAGCGTTTTTGTATTTTATTTTGCCATTGATTATTTTTTATAGTGTACTCGTTATTGGAACATTAGTTGGTATATACCCAACCCAACCTTGAAGAGGGTTTAGCTTATTATCACAGATCAAAAGTTGTAATATGTTCCATTGAGTCAAGGGTTACACACTTCATGTTGTAAGACATTCTTGTAGGCAATGGAAGTATTATGCTTTATTATAAAAAAAAAATAAAAAAAAAGGGAAAAACCCAAGTCCCACATCGACTAGAGATTAAGCAATTGAATAGTATATAAGTGGAAAGCAACGCTTACCTTACAAGCCGGTTTTGTAGGGTTGAGTTAGGCTTAATCCACTATTCTAACATGGTATCAGAGCCATTTAGATCCACTTTAAAAATGGGCCACCCACCATTGATGCATGCCTCACAGGCATGAGGGGGTGTATTGGGAAAAATCCAAGTCCCGCCAATCCTAGATCATTAAAAAGGGCCACCCACCATTTATCCACGTACCAAGCCCAATAGTGCTGGACGTGAGGGGGTGTATTGGGAAAAACCCAAGTCCCACATCGACTAGAGATTAGGCAATTGAATAGTATATAAGTGGAAAGCAACCCTTACCTTACAAGCCGGTTTTGTAGGATTGAGTTAGGCTTAATCCACTATTCTAACAATATTCATGTGCTAAAGGAGGCATTCCATTTAAAAACCAATATATTTAAACTTTGAAAATCTCCTTTTTTTATTTTTTATTTATAGTGATCTAATGTTCATAACTATTACACTATGCAGAAGGATGGAAGGATGCCATCACATTCTGGCTATAAGTGGTCAGTCACGGCTGATGTGGAGAGCTTGGCATGGGATCCGCACACTGAGCACTCTTTTGTGGTGTGTTATGGTTATTTCTATGACCTGAGAACTAACATTACTTTTTTTTTCTTTCATTTTTTATAATAATACACAATAGCATTTTAGCACATTTTTGATAAATAATTACCAACATTCTTTTTAGCTACTGACTTCACAGATATTTGTTAACAAATAGTGATTTTAATTCTGTTAGGTGAGTCTTGAAGATGGTATTGTCAAGGGTTTTGATATTCGGACTGCCCATTCTGATTCCTCATCTGATCTGAGTTCTACTTTTACACTTCATGCACATGACAAACCTGTTACCTCAGTATCCTATAATCCATCGGCACCTAATGTATGTGTATCTTCAACATTTTGGTGGGAATACCGACTTATTATGTATTTTAGTTTAACTGTGCCTTGTTGACATGACTTCATGCAGCTTCTTGCCACTGGATCCATGGACAAAACGGTAATAAGAAGTCAATTTTATTATTTTCCTGTATACTGTACTTTGCAGATTGGAATTCATCTCATTTGGCAGCTATTATGTGTCACAGATAAAGCTTTGGGATTTGTCGAACAACCAGCCCTCTTGTGTAGCATCTAAATCTCCGAGAGTAGTAAGTTTTTTTTTGTCAATCGTGAATATCTAATGTGAAAGTTTTTACGAATCATAATATATTTATTAAGTTGACACTGATGTCTTCTCTTTTTCATTAGGGGGCTATTTTTAAAGTTTCTTTCTCAGAGGACAACCCCTTCTTGTTGGCTATAGGAGGCTCAAAGGGAAAATTGCATGTAAGTGAAAAGGGCCGATGAACAATACTTCCGTGCTCTTGATCGTTCTATTATTCTTCGAGTGAAATTGACTGTTGTAACTAATAATTTGTAGGTATGGGACACCTTATCTGATTCTGGAATCTCTCGTAGATACGGGAACTACAACAGGAATAGATCTCAATCTGGCTCTTGAGTTTTAGTCTTCCTTCCCGTACCGCTCATGTTGTGTTGCATAAATCAAAATTTTGGGATTCACTGCAAATGTGTTTGATTTTTTATTTTATTTTATTTTTTTATGCATCCTGATAACCTGATTTGTACTAGCCTTAGATTTGAATGGGTTGAACATAATTGTTTTGTAAGATTCCAAGTTCCAACAGTTCAAAGTTTTAGTTTGCATGTCTTGTTTGTTTAGGGGCAAAGCCCAAAAGAAAATTACATGGACATTTTCCTTCCGTTTTATTTTATTTGTCGTATAAGATGATGTACACATCTTAAGAAAATAACCAATTATGCAAATTCCTATGATAAAATAACGTTATCTGATTTAAATACCTTTATTTATTACAATAATACTTAAATGATAAAAATTACTAATTAATGTATTGTTGGTTGACATCAATTAGAGTTGCAAAATAAAAATTGTGATTAACATTCTTCAGATGTTTTAAAATGACAAAAAATCTTCTAAAAATAGCAAATAAAAAGGAAAGGGCTAGAGTACCTTAAATGGGGTATGATAAATTGATAATTCCAACACAATCAGCCAGCAAAGAGAATATTAAGGATTTAGAGATACACAAAATGTAAAAATTGCAAAGTTGTTTATGGGGATTTTTGTGGTCAAAAGGAATATGTTCCAGGAGTATTATCGGAATTGGACTTTGTTCTAAAAATGTTCTTATAACTCTTAAGTAGAACTGCCACTGGGCTTATTTAATGTAGAAGAATTTCATACTTCACTATAAGATATCAATATATAGTAAGTTGTTTTATCTACATGTGATTCATGAGAACAGTACTCTTGTTTTATGTTCGCATTTTATTTCGGTGCTTCTGTGTTGTGTTCACATTTTGTTTCAGTACTCTTGTTTTATGTTCACATTTACTTAGGGAATGGAGAGAGCTAAGTAAGATAAAGTTTAACGGTTTGGTTGTATTAAGTGAAATGTTATGGAATATCCAAAAGAAATAGGAGATAATGTGTGTAGAAATATTTTTTATCATGATTATTGGATCATGCAAATCATGATTATTCCTTTTATATAATTTAGATTTGATTTGCGTATTTTATACAAATTTTATTTTTGATATCGGTGCATATCTTGTACTAACTTACTTTCACACTAATAATATTTTTTTTATTATAAAAAAAATGACATTTAATGAAGTAATTTAACTGTTTTTTTTAAAATGAATTTAACATTGTTTTAATATTTAAAATTGTAATTGCCCCATAATTGACTTCTAATTAAGCATCTATTTTAAGGATTTTCCATAATTTGTTAGGTATTTCAATATTCAAAATTATAAATTAGAGTTATAACTTTACGTCACTCTATGCTTCTCTCTCTTTAGTTCGAGAATTGATGTAGAGGTAAACAATTCCTTGCATAAACATACTAAATTAATGGGTAAAATCTATGTTCTAATTATTATTTATTGAGATAAAATATCAATTATCTGTCAAATTTTGATTTGAGAAAAAAATTTAGATAACTCAAAAAAAAAATTATTTTACTCAATAATTTATGAGGTATATTAAATTTTAATGAATTTAATAATTAAATTAAATTTCAATGGGTATAATTTCATGACTTAATCTCCCTAATCATTCACCATAAGAGTTTTTAATTAATCTTTGATATTCAAATTAATCTATTTAACTCTTTGTTAATATTTTCACATTAATCTATTGAACTCATTATTGATGTTTTCACAATACAATTTTTATATTTTAGTATGATTTAACAATCTCCAAATTTTAATGTATTGCATTGAAATTTCTCTAAACCATCATCATCTTCTTATTGTGAGAGAATTTGAAACACATATTTTTTTATTCATTCTATAAAAAGAAATAGACTCAATCCTTAGAGAGTAAATATTTAAATTTTATACATACAGATTTTCGTCTCCTTTCAAAAAAGAGATAAAGTTATATAGAGGGTGAAAGTAAAATATGAAATATTAATAAGATCCATTTAAAGGGGTATGCATTCTTAAAATTGTTACTTTTTTTCTTGATAAATCAGAGTTAAAAATAATCATTTCCACGGATGATAAATAAGGAATGATAAGATTAAAATTATTGAAGTGTGATATATCACAATTAAAGTATGCTATAATAGTTAAAGAGTGATATAATAATCATATAATTTTAAGTGTTAAAATTTTTATTGAATTATAGTTCAAATGACAAATATTCTATTTGTTTGTGATTTTTTTTTACCATTTATATAATTTATTTTGGTTTATGTAATTAAAAATATAATGTTTTAAATTACGTTAATGTACTCATTCTAAATTTTTGAAAACTTACGTATCACATGCATGTATTTGTCCCCATATCCAACACAACATAGCCGCATATTATATACTCGTGTTTGTACTCATATTCGGTATAACTTTCATTTCAGCACAATTTCATTAAACAACATAAAATGTAATTATTACTGATATGATTTACTTATTTGAAAAATTGATGTGCTCTTGTTGAAATGCCAAATTATTGCTGATATGATTTACTTATAAAATTCCATCACTGCCATAGTAGAGAAAGCTCGACAGACAACTTGAAACCTAGAAAATCCAGAACGCTTGCCCAAACTCTCAAATTGTTTCTCAGTTCTTTCCCTTCCACCAGGTGTAATAAACATGATGTTATCAAGAATTAAAACCACTTTATAATCATTTGTAGGTTCCGGATCTTCTTGCAGTATGAAATCCTCAACAATGACCTTCCCCTTTGCTGGCAAAGCTTTGTAACAATTGCTTAAAATTTCTATGGCTTTTTCATCCGACCAATTATGGCATATAGCCTAGAAAAAACAAATTGGTTAGCACTTTATTAGTTAGATTTAACCAAGTTATCAACAAAGAATAACTGAAGCTTAGGTAATATATATGTTTTCTATACTAAGTACTAACCTTTAGCATCATGGCATCACCCTGTGGAACACCTTCAAACATATTTCCCCCGATATGCTCAACCCCTATATGAAACTTGATAATTTTTCATTGAATGGTGATTTGGACTAGGCTAGTTGTTCTTTGCTCCAAGAATCGTTCAAATGGTAGTTTATTCACTAATTTTTTTGAAAAACCAAAAGTCCAAAAGACAAGACATCGATTCTTGATCTTTTGCCAAAGTTGAGCATTGGTCTATGCATGGCTACTACCGGTTGTGAGATAAAATGGCTAAAATACCTCTCTAGTCTAGGTATGTGTCATGACTCATGTTCAACTAACGCTGCTTTATTTTGATAGTTAAGTCGTTCTTTACTTAGCTCAAATTCCTATAATTTACAAATAAATAGATTAAACACAATGAAATCAATTGTCATACGAAATACTTAAAGTTAACATTTATCTTATATATGCGCCAACTAATATATAATTTGTTGACTTTTCACTAACACACAATTTCTTCTCTTGGACAATTACTTAAAGTTGGCATTCACTATCTCAATGACCAACTTGAAGGTAATAAGAAAATCAGACACATGATATATTTCAATTAATGTATATTCTCAACTGACATATTTGTTATTTATAGATAGGAATTCTTGTGTGTGAGAGAGATCATGCAAAAGTACCAAAACTTATTAGACTGCAATTTTAGTGAAATGAACATGTATATAATCTTATTAGACAACAATTCTAGTGAAATGAACGTGTATATTTACCTTTATATTATACTGGTATTCTACTACTTTGACGATATATCGGTTTTTTTTTTTCTTCCTATTTTTAAATTGACGCGATACAAAATAAAATTATTTTAAAGTAAACAAATTAAACAACAGTAAAATAACATTTTAATGGAAATAATTATTAATATAAAGTTATGTTCTTAAGTCAAAATGGTTGTTATAATAAGTTAGTTGTCTTTTTAAGATTATTTTATTTTTATAAATTAATTTTAAAAAAAAAACAGAGTTAAATAAGTCCAAGAAAAATTATTGGTTGATGCCTAAAAATTGTGGTAATTTGTAACTATTCGTTTATATCCAAATATACACATTTTTTGTAATTTATCAAATGAATTTTTTTTATAATCTTTTAGAAAGCTTAAAGAACAACCCAAAGAAAGAAAATTAACTTCATATAAAAGACACTATCCAAGTGTCTACTAGTAAAATAAAGCTAAATTGTGAAGGACATCACTCTCTAAAGTTTTCATATTCAATACACTTTGACATTGTCAATGCAATTAAATACAATTGGTTATTCACTACAAACTTTAAATAGTTCTCATCATCACTTTTCAAGGATGACTTATATATATGCACAAGAAAAAAGTAAACAAAATAAAAAATTAATAAAGAAAAACATTGTTTTATCTCAAATCTCTTAAGCTTTGCAAGCAGGTGCTTTTCCTGTAATTAAGGGCTTGACATTAGCACATTTAGCATCTATTGGAGCTCCATTGAATGTAAGATTAATATCACTTAATTCCACTCCATCACACGGTACACCACTACTGCACATCAAAATCACCCCTTCCTTGGTTTTTGAAGTACCCTTAATATTCTTGAAGGTAACCTTACTTATCTTTACTTTTGAAGGAGCCTGTGTCATTGCAAACATCCACAAAATGGACAAAAACAAGGTATAAGAAACCTCATTGTATTGCATGTTAGGTTAATAAAACCAAAAGATTAGTTATTTAAGTAATAACAACTCTAGTATGATTACAAAAAAAGTAATGAGAAAAGATAGTCAAATTTAAGAATAAGTATTGATTAAATATACAAGTACCTTTTTATCGCATTGATTCCAAGGACAATATTCTTGATCAATGATGATTGGGTTCATGACATCAACCATGTTAACATCTTCAAAATGCATATCAGTAATAGGAGAAGTTCCCGGACCACTAGGCCAAGTTTTGATCCTGACACCATTGTCTGTATTTTTCAAAGTGCAATTTTTGACTAAAAGATGTTCTACGGGCTCTTCTTCTGGGTACTTGCCAAGGCTTCCAACACTAATGCCATGGCCAGGTCCGCAAATCACATTCTGAACAGTTATTTGTTTGCTGCCATCTCCCAAGGAGACACAGTCATCTCCAGTAGCAATGTTGGTGTTTAAAATCTTCACATCAGTCGATCTTCCGATGTGAATCCCATCAGTATTGATGCTATCAGCAGGAGCACTAACATGAAAGCCATCAAATGTGAAGTTGGTGCATCCCAAAACATTCACATGAAAGTTTTTGCTATCCTTAGTAGTTATGTCTCGAACAGTTGCATGTTTTAGGAAATTGAAACTAAGATTCTGTTCATAAGAGATTCAACTCATTAGCATGTTTTGGTAGATGTTATTATTCTAGTAATGTGGGATTAAATGTATATATATATATATATATATATATATATAGTGTATATTTACCAAGGAGCGTTTTTTGCATTTCTGGTTTGTTCCACAATCATTTTCTTTCCAAGCTTTTGCGCCTTGACCATCAAAAACACCATGACCGGATATAGTTAAAAAGTCAACATGTTCGATCTTGATCCATTCAAAGGAACGCTTTTTGCATTTCTTGTTACTTCCACAATCATTTTCTTTCCAAGCTTTTGCACCTTGACCATCAAAAACACCATGACCGGATACGGTTAAAAAGTCAACATGTTCGATCTTGATCCATTCATAAGCATCATTCATTGCATTAGAGTCGGGCGGTGCTTGAATTGTGCCTTCAACATTAATTTCAATGGGAGCCTTACAAGGACCTTTTACCTGAATTGCATTCATCTTGTATGTCCCACTTGGAATCACAATTTTAGTTGCAGTTGTTGATGCACATGCTTCATCCCAGGCCTTTGTCAAAGCCTTCAAAGAACATATAAATTACAAATCAAGAACAATATAAGTAATAATAATAATCCATGGAGTCTTTAATCACTTTTTTTTTCTCTCAAGTGAATTCAATTGAATTTTACCTGTGTTATATCTGCATTTGGTGCTCCGCCAAATTTTTTTATATCTATGACAACTGATTGAGTGGAACCAAAAATAGCCAATAGTAAGAATAAAACAAATGTTGCCATATTCAACTTCATATCCATGTTGTAATAGGTGAACTTTGTTTTCTCACACTCTTTAGCAAAGAATGTTGCTTTTGAAATATGAAGGAATGTTATTTATACTAGAGTCACGAAGTCACAAAACCATTAATCATGTAAACAGACTTTTAGATCAAATTAATTTAGTCCTTACAATTGTGTGGTTAAACACGTAACTCTAATAATCGTTCATTTGTTAACACTAATTGTAAATAATATCCTATTTATTTCCTTTCCTAAATAAAATTTAGAAAGTAAGTTGCACCAAATCATGATTTCAAACATCATATTTAGCATTGTACTTGAGTTCCAAAACTCGAAAGAACATCCTCATTTGTCCTAAGCAATATTTCATAATTTTGTCTAATAAAAATATTTTTCTTGAATTGGGAGATTTTTTTAAGTCATTCTTCAACTATACTATTGCTAATTGTTTCTTTAGTAACAATATATTAAAAATATTCTTAATATTTTATCTATTTTAATCAATATTTTATTATTTATAAATTAAATTTAATATATCTAAAAATTATTAATAATTTAAAATAATATTGTATTATAATATAAATTATTATTATAAATATTAAATATAATTTAACGATAAAATATTTAAATTACTGAATTGCTCAATGGTATTGGAACAATATTTTAGTTTGTGTGGATATGGTTAGGGAGTAACAGTTTATAATGCATAATGGGGAGCATAAGGTGTGGAATGGAGAAAATATCATACAAAGCAGTCATGGGGTGATTTCTTGGCGTTATTGGTGTGTATAAGAGAGGACTTGTTAAATAGAAGCCATGAAAAGAAGGTATGAAGTGCAGCTAATCATTGATGTTAGTGGTGTATGTGTGGATATTTTTGGAATGACATATTTATGTTAGGACAAGGAGAGCTATATGTTAGGACAATTTTGATGTTCAAAGAACTAAAATTACATAGGTAAAATTTGGAGATTTAAATCTTATAGTTATAATATATGAGAAATTAAAAATGCACATAAGCCTTAAATTAAAAGAACTACTAAAAATTGTAACCTTTATTTTTATTTTTGAAAGTTGTGATAGTGACAAGATAATAATAATGAATAACAATTATGATTGTAATTGTAATTTTAAATAATTTTTTAATTTAATAATTTATTTTAATCTAAATATCAAAAGTGACCGTTTTATCTTCATATAAGGTAATTCTTATATGATACATATAAAAAAAATGATAAATATTGAACACTAAATAGAAATTATTTAAACCCGTAATAATCCTAATCATACATTAAAAAGTTTAAGTAAATAAATTAATGTATAAAAAAATTATAAAATAAAAATAACTTTTTGGAAAAAGGACAATATTCCAGACCTTGTATTAATTATTCATTAATTCCATTATGCTTGATCTAAATATAATTTGAATATGTAATTTATAGCAAAGGATTTATAGAAAGTGGCAAAATTGATCGAAGGAAGGATCCTTGTTGGTCATGACTCGTACAGCAGTCTTGGGATCTGCATTTGCGTGCTTATTTCCTTTCTTTTCCTTACTTCGTGTGTACACTTTTCTTATCGGTTACCAGTTTCTGGTGTTACACACTTTTCTTATTATCGGTCAATAGTGTTTAAAACTAAAAAGTTTGGTTGAATACGTGTTTAAAAAAGTACTTCTTTTTATTAAAAATAAAGAACTTTTTCCGTAAGATTTTTTTTTCAAAAAACACAACTTTTATTCAAACAGATTCTCAAAATTCTACTGCACTTTTGCAAGCATTATTATTAAGTCATCCCAAAAAAAAAAATATAGGCAAGTATCTGTTTTTACATTATACATTGTAATGTCTTCTAATAAACTTGCCTTTGAGTTTATGTAGGTCAAGTAACAGGAGCACTGCAACATCTTGCACTAGAACATCTTGGTACTAAGATCCAAACAGGACAGTACTGCCCCGTAAGTCAATGTCTATCCACCATTTTACCTAGCAGATCATAGTTGATAGCTTATGTAATTATCCTATCTGATTGATCAATTTTTTAAAATTATTTACGTAAATAAAATTGTTTTAAAATTATTTATATTTTTGAGACATTTTACTATAATGTCATTATGACCTATAGCGATATCAGTGACACGTGTACTTTTTTTTTAATTACAAACAACTAAAATTTAGCCAATAAAAATCATTATAAACTATGACAATTTTTATAAAGTTGCTATGAACTTCATTCCATTTTAAAAATATAATTAATATATATCTTTTATTATTAGAAAAATATTTTATCTAAAGGTGTTATGGGCCATAGCGACATTGTGTTGCTATAAACCATAACGACATTGTTTATTAATTTATATTTTATTTTTAATATATTTGTTTTTAAATTTAATTAAAAATATTTATTTATGTAGTTGTTTTTTATTTTAATTAAATGAAAAAAAAATATAAACAAATTTTTATTTATGTACTTTTAATTAAATTTTTTGTTTAAGTCAAGATTTTTTTTATAGCCTTGACTATTGTAGTTTGCACACGAAATACAGCCTCTTGCACCACTATCATCTGGGTGCTGCAAATATTCATCTAACATCAGTTGAAAACAAATGTGGTTCTAACATCTGCAGGACATAATAAACGAAAAGTAAGCATTTCCTGTATAGGCTTTGCATTCAATTTTCAACTGCCACAGAAGGCGGTCATTTCCTGTATAGGCTTTGCATTCAATTTTCAACTGCCACAGAAGGCGGTATGGCCTATATCGCCACAAAGTCGCTATAGGGTATAACAATTATTTTTTTATTTATAATTATTATATTATCATTTTATTTTAATTTTTAATTTTATATTTCTGTTTTTTTTTCTTTTTTTTTATTTATTGAAATCCTTCATTTAATTTTAAATAAATTGTGTCTTTTTCCAAATTAATTTCAGTCAATTATTTATTTTATTTTCTTTTATTCTCATTTATATTATCAATTTTTTTGAAATTTTAATTTTAAAATTCTGTTTTATTTCATTTATATTTTTAAATATTTATAGTTTTATTTTTTTAAAATTATATTTGTTAAAAATTAGTTTATAAAAAAATATTTAAGAAGTGACGCTATAGGCCATAGCAACTGTATGTCGCTATAGACCATAGTTATAGCGACTGTGTGTCGCTATAGGCCATAACGACCACGTTTTTTAATTTATTTATTTTATTTTCTTTTATTTCCATTTATATTATCAAATTTTTTCAAATTTTAATTTTAAATTTCTATTTTATTTCATTTATATTTTTAAATATTTATAGTTTTATTTTTTTTAAAATTATATTTGTTAAAAATTATTTTATAAAAAAATATTTAATGGCTAGCGCTATAAGTTATAGCGACTTCATTGAAGCCCTTTTGTGTTGCTGTCGGCTGTAACGACTTTCATAATATGACTTTCATGACTTCTTAAAATTTAAAAAATAACACGTGGCAGGGTTGTCACTATGGGCCACAGCGACACTGTACAAAATTATCCCAAAGGTGTAAATTGTTTCGAAACAACTCCATTTACGTAAATAATTTTAGAAACTACCCCAAATTGGTCAATCAGCCAACTATCCCTTTAAACAATTTTAAGGGTGTGTTTGAATACCCAATTTAGTTGAATACCAATGATCAGAGAGACATGGATTGGTGTTGGAAGTACATTAGAAAGCGAAAAAAATGAGTTAAACAAACACCCTATAAGCATCCATCAACAATAATCTTATTTCTCGTAACGTAAATTAACTAATGTCTTGGTGTATTTGAATGAAAAATTTTACAAATTCAAGGAATTTTAAATTCTTGGTATTTGAATTACTTTGATTTCAATTTCTATCATTTTTAAAATATTTTGTTTGGATAAGTCAATTCAAATTTCTCAAATTTTAAATTGTTGGGTTGGATATGATAATTTGATTCTACCATGATAAAATTAATTTTAAAAATATATTTATATGTTGAGATTTTTAAATTAAATTTTATAAAAATAAATATTAGCTAATTTTTAAATATTTAATAATTTTAAAAATTAATATTAGATAATATTTAATAAATTTAAAAATATTTTTGAATATTCAATAATTAAAACATGAAGAGATAAGAGATAAGATAAAATATATAAGTGAAATAAGAAGAAAAAAAAATTATGAGGAATTTCAAATTCTTGCTTTTTTGGGAGAATTTGAAATTTTACTATTTTAAAGAATTTCACAAATGCATGAATTTCAAATTCCTTATAAATTATCCATCCAAACAAGATATTTTACCTCAAAAAATTTAAAATTCTTCAAATAAATGAATTACTCCATTTAAATTCTCTATCCGAACACGGGAAATATGTTTAATGAGTAACTTCATATTATGATGACAACTTAGAAATGAAAATGAAGACAAGATCCAACAAGAATGATTTCTCTGAGGCACAAATAAACACCAACAAAGTCATGACTCAAAGCAGCTTAACACCAGCTTCCCTGAGAGAATCTATTACCGCTTTGACCTTACCATGATACTTCTGTTCTCTTTTCAAGTGAACAGAAACAGCAGGAAGATCCTTAAGCAAAAGGCGTTCTGCTAGTATCTTCCCGATCTTTGCAGCTGCAGCCACATCCCGACTAGTTTCCAAGCTTGATCTCAAGGCTTTCTCTTGTGAGCTTGCAGAAGAGGATACAGTAGCAGTTGGGGTGTGAATCACCTGCGCACTCACATACTTATTGGTAAAATGCATCTTCAGAACATAAGGTTTGAGAAATTTTGTAATCCTGGGAGGCCTCACCGGGGGTGGGATAACCATATTCTGTTTTACAATATAATCCTCGTTAATATAAGCATATAATTAAAATAAAAAATAAAATAAAAAAGTTCACTGTTTGTGTCATTTTTGGCAAATCACATATAACTCAAGAAACCAACATATATCTAACTATTTATTGGAACACTGTATATCAAACGATAAGCCAATATAAGTTCATTTCATGTTTTGACTATCTGGTAAATGCAAATTTCAAAATATCAACTAAATATACTCCCTTTCTCTATTCAACATTCCTCCACTGGTCATATCTATCATGTAAAAATGTGAAATAACTTGAGAATATATCTATCATGTTTTGTTAAGAGCGTGCTGTAAGAGCCCTAAAAACCTAAAAATGAGCAACAAGTGAAGCCGAAAACATGTAAGACCTTAAAAATGAAAAAACCCCACTTCTTAATGAAAAGATCTGATTGGCAACTTTGATCAAACAGTTGAAATGCAAAATAGTGGGCATTGCTCAAAGGGTTACGAAACAAGTATAAGAAATGGAAGGAGGTGGTGTAACGGAAAATTTAAATTGATTGGAGAGAGAAGGAGAAACTTACCTGATCTGATCCAAAACAACACAATTCTGCACTCACCACCCACTTTGTGAAACAAATATTTCTCACTCTCACTCTCACTTTCTCCTATTTATTTCTTTTATACTGTTGCATTGTCTCTATTCTCATATTTGTTTAATTACTATTTAACCTCGTATATTATAGAAATCACAATTTTATATTATTATCTACTTATACAATAAATTTGTTTTGTAGACTTTTTAATAATTATTTTAAAAATTATATTAAAACTTTATATCGACAAAACATAACTATTAGACCATGTATAAAATATTTTATTTTTATTTTATACAAGTATATTTATAAAAATTAATTGTATTTAAATATTTTATCATTAAATTATATTTAATATTATAATAATAATTTATATTATAATATAATAATATTTTGAATTATTATTCGTTTTTAGAAATATTAAATCTAATTTAAAAATAATAAAATATTGATTAAAAGAGATAAAATATTAAGAATTTTTTTAATATATTGTTATTAAAGAAATAATTAGCAATACTATAGTTGAAGAATGAATTAAAAAAATCTCCCGATTCAAGAAATATATTTTCATTTGATAAGACTATGGGATATTGCGACAAATGATGATATTTTTTTCGAGTTTTAGAACTTAAGTATAGTGCTAAAGTGATGTTTGAAATCATGATTTGGTGCAACTTACTCCCTAAATTTAATTTAGGAAAGGATATAAATAGGATATTATTTACAAATTAGTGTTAACAAATGAACGGTTATTATAATTACGTGTTCAATCACACAATTGTAAGGACTAAATTAATTTGATATAGAAATCTGTTTACATGATTAATGGTTTTGTGACTTCGTGACTCTAGTATAAATAACATTCCTTCATATTTCGAAAGCAACATTCTTTGTTAAAGAGTGTGAGAAATCAAAGTCATCCATAATATTTTGAAAGCAACATTCATTGCTAAAGAGTGTGAGAAAACAAAGTTCACCCATTACAACATGGATATGAAGTTGAATATGGAAACATTTGTTTTATTCTTACTATTGACTATTTTAGGTTCCACTCAATCAGCTGTCATAGATATAAAAAAATTTGGGGGAGCACCAAATGCAGATATAACACAGGTAAAATTCAATTGAATTCACTTGAGAGGAAAAGAAGTGATTGAAGATTCCATGGATTATTATTATTACTTATATTGTTCTTGATTTGTAATTTATATGTTTTCTGAAGGCTTTGACAAAGGCCTGGGATGAAGCATGTGCATCAACAACTGCAACTAAAATTGTGATTCCAGGTGGGACATACAAGATGAATGCAATTCAAGTAAAAGGTCCTTGTAAGGCTCCCATTGAAATTAATGTTGCTGGCATAATTCAAGCACCACCTGACCCCAATGCAATGAATGATGCTTATGAATGGATCAAGATCGAACATGTTGACTTTTTAACTATATCCGGTCATGGTGTTTTTGATGGTCAAGGCGCAAAAGCTTGGAAAGAAAATGATTGTGGAACAAACCAGAAATGCAAAAAACGCTCCTTGGTAAATATACACTATATATATATATATATATATATACATATACATTTAATCCCACATTACTAGAATAGCAACATCTAACAAAACTTGCTAATGAGTTGAATCTCTTTTGGACAGAATCTTAGTTTCAATTTCCTAAAACATGCAACTGTTCGAGACATAACTACTAAGGATAGCAAAAACTTTCACGTGAATGTTTTGGGATGCACCAACTTCACATTTGATGGCTTCCATGTCAGTGCTCCTGCTGATAGCATCAATACTGATGGGATTCACATCGGAAGATCGACTGATGTGAAGATTTTAAACACCAACATTGCTACTGGAGATGACTGTGTCTCCTTGGGAGATGGCAGCAAACAAATAACTGTTCAGAATGTGATTTGCGGACCTGGCCATGGCATTAGTGTTGGAAGCCTTGGCAAGTACCCAGAAGAAGAGCCCGTAGAACATCTTTTAGTCAAAAATTGCACTTTGAAAAATACAGACAATGGTGTCAGGATCAAAACTTGGCCTAGTGGTCCGGGAACTTCTCCTATTACTGATATGCATTTTGAAGATATTAACATGGTTGATGTCAAGAACCCAGTCATCATTGATCAAGAATACTGTCCTTGGAATCAATGCAATAAAAAGGTACTTGTATATTTAATCAATACTTATTCTTAAATTTGATTGTTTTTTCTCATTACTTTTTTTTTTATAATCATACTAGAGTCGCTATTATACTTAAATAACTAATCTTTTAGTTTTATTAACCTAACATGCAATACAATGAGGTTTCTTATACCTTATTTTTGTCTATTTTGTGGATGTTTGCAATGATTCAGGCTCCATCAAAAATAAAGATAAGTAAGGTTACCTTTAAGAATATTAAGGGTACTTCAAAAACCAAGGAAGGGGTGATTTTGATGTGCAGTAGCGGTGTACCATGTGATGGAGTGGAATTAAGTGATATTAATCTTACATTCAATGGAGCTCCAATAGATGCTAAATGTGCTAATGTCAAGCCCTTAATCACAGGAAAAGCACCAGCTTGCAAAGCTTAAGAGATTTGAGATGAAACAACATTTTTCTTTATTAAATTTTTCTTTTGTTTACTTTTTTTTGTTGTAAATATATAATTCATCCTTGAAAAGTGATGATTAGAAATATTTAAAATCTATAATGAATAACCAATTGTATTAGTTGCATCAACAATGTCAAAGTTTATTGAATAAGAAAGCCTTGTTAAAGAGTATATTCTTAAGAATGACATTCAAATTATAAAAAAATATTCATATTAGCCAAAATTTCGGTGAAAATTTCTTTCGAGTCTACGTAAATAGTATATTCTATATAATACTATATTATTTGTATTAGAGTGTGTTTATATATATATATATAAAAAAGTGATTGTTTATAATATTTCTAAACAAAATTTACAAGACATTGAAACTAACTAGAGTGAAGCCAATTCGGCAATGATACGACAGTGACAGAAAAGACTAGAAGGGAGGGATAAAAGGGTTCTAATTTTAATATAAAATAATCACATAGATTTGTACAAACTAACATAAATTAGTAAAGAATAAGAATTTATGATATTTTGTGTTGTGTATAAAATAATCAATCCACTAGAAGGAGAAGGAGTAAATCATGTCAAGGGATGCCAAGTTGCCCCTTGAATCAAAATTCACCTCGTATTTGAAATAGTATTCTTGAAGCATATATTTTTCATAAATTTTATAAATATTTATAGGTGACATTTAATATTTGTTAAATTATATTTTTTAAAACAAAAAAATAAAAGTTAATAAATAATATTTAAGCAATATTTTTGATAAGACAAAATAATTTTTATAGATATGTACACATAAAATAAAATAAATTAATATGTAGATTTGATCTATACATAAAAAAAATTTAATTTAAAGATTTAAATCATTAAAATTTGATATAAAATATAATTACTGAATGAAAGTAAATTTATCAAAACTTACTCTTAAAATAAATAAATTCCTACTCATTATACTAATAAAACATCTCAATAAATATAAATTGGTGGTTTATGATAAAATATTACTTATCTTATTTAATAAATATAATGTAAAAAATATGTATATTAAATTTATAAATTTTTATGAACATATTTATATTACATATCTATTATGAAATAAAATATAATTGTTACAAATTTTAATACTTATATATATGTTAATTTATTTTATATATACGTGCATGTGTTAATTTATGATATATATA